AGTTAGTGTCCCGTATAGCAGTCCCATATATAAAATTTCAACGCTCTATGGCTATTCATTTTAGAGTTATGGGAGATATATACATACGTACGTACTTACTCACGTACAGACGTCAAGAAAAGAATCTCTTCTATATCCATTTTAAATTCATTTTATACAACCCGTTTTTGATAAAAATGAGTCCTTTATTCCATTCGTACGGCACACCAGCAGCTGGGCGGTAAAATCGCTGAACACTGATGATAGTTCGGTCCGAGATTAGAATCTCGCGAACGGGCTCGCTGCATGAGTGGTTTCATGATTTTCCTCATATGTAACGTGTATACGAGCCAGGTTTCCAAAACATTCTCTACGGAGGCATCCGTTCCCTTAGGCAGATAGCCCTCGAGGCTTTGGCGTAATCACATACACCAAACCAAACCGCATTGCATCCGTACGTACAGATGTGAAGCAAAAACATCTTTCAAATGGATTCAAGAGGGTTCAAAATGGATATCTTAGTTGAAATATGGTACCCAAAATATTCGCGATTATAATACATCCTTTATTTCGTACAAAGACGTAAAAAAGCAAGTTTAGTGCAACAGATAATGATTGCCAGTAGCTATTATCTGAAACTTCACACTATACTATCAAATTACAACTAAAATAAGTATGTTAATGGCTATTATAATAAAATTGTAATAATAATATAGTAATAGTAATAATACTAATATAATGGCATCTGTATGCGGCTGCAAAATCTCAAAAATGTTGAAGAGAAACAAAACGAAACAAAACCAAGCAATAGACAGAAACTGCTTATAACAAGATATACTTTTTTTACTAACAAGGTAATAAATATTCAGACCACTACAATATGATACTTGTTTACGATCAACAAAATTACATTGTCTATGGCAAGTCAAAAACATTAAAAAATGTTTTTTGACAAATCTGATAAGTTTTAGGAAACGGCAAATTTACTAAAATATCTACAAAGGGATGACGTTACAAAATAATAGATTACAACCAAATGACGTTGTAAAAAGCAAAAGTGACATATTTTAATTAATGTTACATTTTTACAACATCAGTTTTACGATATTCATTTCAAACTTATCATCAAATTCCTTTTTACAGTTTTATTTTAATTTCATATATAGCGTAATTAAAATAAATTAATTTCATATATAAATTTTAATTTCATATATAGCGTAATTAAAATAAATACTGCTGTATAATTTCTGATTCGCCTTTAACATTTTCACTAGTAATTAATATTACGGGGCCTACCAGCGGTCGAGCGACCAGGTCGTTTAACACTGATAGTTCCGACTTCCTGAAAAACGGGCGGGTTGCATGGGTCTTCTCGTGGTTTTTTCGTGCTAACTTGTATACGAGAGAGTTTCCTTAGGAAGTCCTCCACGAAGGTTATCCCTCTCCTTAGGCAGGATAGCCTTAGTGTGCTTTGTCATAATCTGCCAAACCAACCAACCATCAATAGCACGAGTAAATTTTTATTCACTGTCAAGATAACTTTGTCATTTGGCACTTTGGGGTAATTTTTTTAAACTTTATATTTGCTTTCAGTTGAGTACAAGCATACATTTGCTAACTCTCCTTCGCGCTTTTTTTTTTTTTTTTTTTTTTTTTTCACACGAGCCTAGTGAAATTTTTCAATATAAACGTTCCTGAATGAAAACTTTCATGCTGAAAAGTACACGGTGCAAAGTTTTTAATACTTTTTCATTAGCAACTTGGTATGAATACATCTCTTTCTCCATGCTAATGTAGCATGATTTTCTTACTTGACATCTCATAAAATGTAAAAACAAATTGGTAATTCAAAGTTCCTAAATACTCATGTTTCCAATTTTAGTAAGATATACGCGCTAATTTTGCAATATTGATATAAATTATTGTAGCTAAATGGAATTATAAATTTTAGATTAAATTCATCAAAATCGAATTAATACCTACAAATTATTAGACCCTGAATCTTGTCCTTTTTGTGAACTGCGTAACTGTACTGCTACAAGACGGAAATGTATTTGCTTATTATGATTTAAAATCAAATCAAATTTGTATGCCAGTCAAATGCTTTCGAGAAATGAAATGAAATACAGAAAATTATGATTATTAAAGGAGTAAACTAATTCTGCTTTTATATATCATTAAAAGAAGTAATGCAATATTATAAATGATTTTAACACGTTTTTGCATTTAAAACATTTGTATCGAACTATCTTATCCCCTGCCATTTTGTGTTTCTGCATTTGGAGATCTTTTATTCAACCGAATGATTTGTTACAATGCGCTGAAGCTCTAGCTATCCAACCACTGGCCGCCAAAAGTTATTAATCATTTGCATATTCTGTTGCAAGTTACGGGCATATGCGATTTCATCCCCTTCTTGACGCGTCGCATATTATATTATACAGTGTTCATCAAAATACTTTTTTTCTCTCTATTGGAGCGTGCTTTTCTAGTTTTGAATGCTAACTTAATTTACATAACCGAATGAATTCATATTCCAAATTAGAGAGCTAATAAATACAGTTAAATTGTTAATAGTATATTCTGCTAATTTACACTCATGTCCATAAATTAAGGATAATGCAAAATCAGGCAAAGGAAGAGTTAGAAGCAAAACAAATTTGACTTATTTGTAAAGCTTATTTATTAAACAAAAGGTAAAGAGCAAAAAAAGATGCCATATGTTTGATATTATTAAAAAAATTAGCGATTTTTTCTCCCTGGAGCAAATTACAGAAAAAAAACCTATTTACAAAAAACCAATGTTACATGGTTGGTATGATTGTTAATACATTGTATGTCTCCCAGACGATGCAATACAGTCCGTACAACGCCTAGGCATGCTGAGTATCAAATTATCGATCTTATCTTGGGGCATATTTCACCACTCCAAAAGCAATGCTCTCCGAAGTTCCGGTAGACATGTAGGAGGAGATTGACGGGCTGCAACTCGTCAGCCAAGCATATCCCACATGTGCTCTACTGGATTCAAGTCCGGTGAGAATGCTGGCCAGTCCATACGGGTGATATCCTCCGATTGAAGGCATTCGCTCACGATGTTTGCACGGGGAGGGCGGGCATTGTCATCTATAAACACAAATTGTGCGTCCATGGCGCCCCGAAACAAACGTACATGTTGTTCCAGAATGACATCCCGATAGATTTGGCTTGTCATGGTTCCAATTTGAACATGCAGGTCAGTTCTGGAACCCAGAATAATTCCAGCCCAAACGAGCACTCCTGCACCACAGTAACGGTGTCGCTCAATGATGTTTTCTTGTTGGTAACGGGTACCTGGAGCTCTCCATATGAAAGTCCGGCGAGAATAAGACTGCAAGCTAAACCTGGACTCGTCGGAAAACATCACACAAGCCCACTGTTGCGGTGTCCACAATGCATGCTCTCTACTCCAGGCTAACCGCAGGCGACAGTGAGTTGCAGTAAGTGGAACGCATCTGACAGGTCTACGAGCATATAGAGGAATCTGCCCTAAGCGTCTGTACACGGTCTGCCTTGAAATTGTCGTACCAGTGGCTGAAGAGAGCTGACGAGACAGGTCTGAGGCTGTGCTCCGCCTGTTTCGTTTGGCAGTAACTGCCAAATATAGGTCCTCATTTGGCGTTGTAACTCTCATTGTCCATCATCTTGCAATCGTTGCCAAAGCCTGGAGATGACACTCTGGGCAATTCCAAGTTCGTCTGATACCTCCAGGTGGGTACGCCACATTCCAGACGGTCGATAATTCTACCACGTAAAAAGTCATCCAAATGCGTCCTTTGTGTCATAACTATTCGGTTATTGCGCTGAAATGCTCATAAAGCGCCTGCGAACAATTTTCTTTGTCTGTATTCCTTATATATGACTCTCTTACACTCTCGTCATTGTGACGTATCATCGGTGTCATCTGGTTACTTCCTGAAATTTGCATATGATTCTTGAAGATGTGTGTAGTGATTTTACAGGTGATATATTTATTTTAGAGTTCGATTTCCGCGTGACTCCGAATTATCTTTAATTTATGGACATGAGTGTAGATTATTCTCTTTTAATATGCATTTTAATTGCTATCAAATTAACCATGATCTGGGGCAAAAAGAACGTGACTCTGATCACCCTAAGTTACCCCGATCACTCGCGAGTTTATTGTAAGTATGTATATCAGATAGACAACAGTTGAAAAATAAAGATTAAAAGTTTTCAGATTTAGTGCTCTTTTGAATTTTTGCTAGTTGATATTAGAAATTAATTTTTAATCTATTCAGAACGTAATATATTTGCCTTCATTAATGAATATACCGAAATGAAAACGCTAAATTTTCTATTTTACAACTTACTAATGCCTCATTTCGGCACGAGAGAAAATGCATAACGTGCACTTTCCGTAAAACCTTTTTTACCTTACATTAACAGGTAATCTATATGCGCTTTATGTGCATGAATTAAATTAACTTTTAAAAACTTACACGTATAAGCACAATATTCACTTCAGTCATGCTAATATTTATATTATTCCACTTGGTAAATTAAAAATATTTCTTAGCATTAATTCTAGCTCTATTTCTAATAATCATTACTATTGCATATTGATTGAAAGTTTTTGGACTAGTAGATAGTTCCATTCCTTTATTTAATTGCATCTATCCATGTATTATGAGTCATAACTGCAATCAATATAAGACGGTTCTTATGTAGTTTTCACAACAGCCTGATATATCACTATTGTGATTTGTGAAAAAGAAGAATAAATTGATAGGAAAGGATTTTTATATATGGTGCAGCATTTAATTCATAAATTTAAAAAAAACAGTGGCACGATCTACATTATAAAAAGATAAACTTGCAGCGAAAATCAATACTATATAGATACATTTTCTTCATACAAGAATAATGTTAACATCTTTATATCCATAACAATGAACTGTAAAATGAATTACATCATGAATGCAATGAATTGCATTCATAACAATAATACATAACAACATTCATTGTAATGGAATCTCATCAGGCACATAATAATTCTGATTATCCTGAAATGCTATGGAAAAGAGAAACATTTTTAAAATGCTTAGATTAAGTGTAAGCGAAATCATTCTTCTCTAAGTGAAAAGGCGAAAGCAGGGAACTGAGTGGAAAGTAAAATAGATTTTTTTCTGGACAGCCATTTTGGATCCCTTGTTATGGTATGGAATGTACAAGAAATGCCCTTCCTAAAAAAATGACAGGCAGTTTTATTCTGACGGCAGTTTCCCAAACTTGAAGTGCAATTCCAATGCTTCCCGCCTGTTTTCATAGGTAGGGAGCACTGAAATTGCTAAACGTAAAAAGAGAGCATTGCAAGAGCGACAATAGTGCCATAAGTGAGCAATTATAAGCACGTCAGTTTCTAAATTCAACTTCTGGACACTTACCTATTACTTCTCGGCTTGGCAATGACATTTTGGACGATTTCTGTTCTCCAACAGGTGGTCGTAACACAGAAAGCAACTGTTTTTTGCTCGAGGCCTTTGATAGTCGTGCGATATAAGCGTTGATGTCTTGCTCTGTCATCTGCGAAGAAAATAATAAATTGAAATAACATAGAAATAACAGTGAGATTTTTCGCTCCTCTAAAATACATGTCAGCAGTAATATGCATTTGGTATTTTTCTTTCATTTTTATAAAGCCAGGTGCAACATAATTCTGTCAACATATTTTATTTAGTCGCCGTAATAAAATCTTTTCAATTCTGTAGCACAGACCAGAAATAGCAAGGACTGATTAATTTTTTTCACTTTTTAAATAAGCACATTTTTCATAAGGTTTTTCAAACAAATGCATTTGCTTTTGAATGCATGACTTAACTATGGCTTTCAGGACTTAAAACAGTGGGATATGTTAAGAATATTAGATAACTGCATTTCTTCATAGTAGTTATAAGATCCCATTTAAGTTCTTTAACGTGTTATTTTGTGTTAAAACAGCTTTCCTATCTTCCTCATTTCGATTTTTCTGTCATAATGTAAATTTCTTGCTCACGCGATATTCAAATGAGGTAAAAAGAAGAGAGCATTTAAAGGAAGCTTTAAGGGCTGAAGGACATGTTGCTAATTTGATTCCCTTGCGAATAATATTCTTCTGCGTCGAGCTATCAGGTTTGTTACGCTGACCTTAGAGCCAGCTTGCGCGTCATTCTGATTGTGAAGCCGTTAAACTAACTAACTTACATGTCTTCGTTTTAATTAGTTTAGCCACTGGTTCACTTTTGAGTCAAATAAAAGGATTTTTTACACCTTTCTTCTATCTCTAGCACAGCGAAAATTCTCGTTTAGTGTTGCTATGCAAAATTTAAGAATTAGTAATTAGTTTTTATATTTTTGATAACACTGAAGGACTAATCGTCATAATTTCAAAAATAATCTAATAAATGTTTAACTTTATTTCCAAATACGGAATTTGAATCAGATCTAAGCAAAATCATTGATCTATTTCATTATACAGAGTTTGATTAAAAAATATGAACGAAATTTAGGTAATTCAAAAATACATTCATAAGATTTAAATTGGTATTCTCCTTGAACAAAACAGAAGAGAAATTGTTACCGTGATATAAAATTTGATTTGTGAAAAAACAGATAATACAATATAAAATACACTATTATAAAATGTATTGCTAAAAATTACTGTAACGAAATATTCCTCTCTTTAACTCTTATCAAATTAAAATGTAATATATTCATTTAATTTCCCTCCTTCAAGAGCATCTTTAAAAGTTTATTCTTTTGCATATTAATAATAATTTGCCGTCGAAACATAATAGCAATATGAACTAAATTTATTTATAGTAATAATATATTTAATTTATAATATATATAAACGCAAAATGTAGAGAAACACTTCTTTTCCAATTGAGACAAATTTAAGAAACTTTTTTTGAAAGGCTATTTTGTGATGATGAATCATCCCCAAATTGCATTTTAATTAGTCTAAATTTACTATCGTATTCGATAACTTTATTTTGATGAATTATAAACAGAACATTTACATCATTTGAAGTATCACCATCTTCGTCTTCGTGGAGCATATATGTTGGGCCTGGCTTCTTTGTATCATAGCGCATATCTCTTGTAAACGTAGGCAACCCATTATTAGCAGGCAAGATAGCATATAGTTGATCTTCTAAATAATCATCTTCAATAACATCTACAAAAGAAAACAAATTACTTAATAATATTTCTTTCAGAATAATAATATACTAAGCAACAAAAACTATAAGATTATCAGTAAATCGTAATGCTGTTTTACATCATAAGTGTCAATAAATTGTAAATGTATAGAATTAATACTTTGACTTTTCAAGGTAATTTACAGTAAATGCTTTCACTTTTCATGGAAAGTAAATGCTTTCACTTTTCATGGAAAGTAAATGCTTTCACTTTTCCATGCATGAAAAATTCAGTGCAGCGTTTGAAAAGAAATTAAACCAATTGGCATGTTTTAACTTTCGTTAAGATATGTAATTTTGGTCTAAGAAATATTTATACCAATTTGCACATTTGCAAAAATGCATACATTGGTATAAAATTATTCAGAAAATCAGAAGAAGAATGAAAGGACTTGGTAATATTATAGGAATATAATAGGAAATATAATAGGAATATAATAGGTAATATAATATAATAGGTATGGTAATATAATAGGAATGGTAATATTATTTATGTTTTCCTTTAAGATTCTTGATTTTTCTCAGTTAAAGTAAAAAGGTTAACATCCAGAAGAATATTTAATAAAATACAAATATCTGGTTAACTGTATATTTTGAAACAGAATAAATTTTCTGTTTTTCTGCACATGGTTTTCCATGATATTTCCCCGTACCATATAATCACACGACTTAAATCTATTTTAAACAGATAACATTGAATTATTTTACTTCTCTCACTATGCATGTATGTCTGAACATCTCGAAATCCTGATCAGTTTCCTTTGATGAGTCACTTCAATTTATAAAAAGTACTAATCATATGCAAAAGCAAATCAAAATTTCAGTTTCATTTCTGAAAAGTAATAACTACTGTGTTACAAAATCTGTTTAACGAGGTATCTGGCATATCTGGTTTGAAATCGTACTTTTTAAAATCCAAGCACTACATCCAGGATTAGAAAATTTAGTTCTTCTAATCATTACATAATCATTACATAACCGTTTACTTCTAATCATTACATAACCGTTTACGCATTTGACCTGCGCGTGTTTTCACGACCACTCGTCTAACAGAACTTTTTAAAATCCAGAAGTCTTGTTTTCATTTGAGGACGGCTTTGCAAAATTCGATGCAAGCTTACTGCTCATAAACCCTTTTTTCTATTTTTACAATCTGGAAATTATAAATAATTAATAATAATTCATAAATAATATATTTATAATTCTTTCTACAGAATTCTTTAATTTGTTTGCTGCAGATGCAATGAGTAACATGGAATCTAACTTATAAAAGAATAAACGGCATAGATACTGTTCACATATTGGGCTCCAGAAGTTACTCGTAGACCAATTGAAGAGGCATTTAGAACTCGGAATCCAGACTGACAGAGCAATCATTAAATCAAAAAATGTAATTCATAAGTTTTACATATTATCTGGATAGTTAATTACATATATCCTGAGGATGTACGATTTTTGCATCTCTTCCTATATTTTCGAATAATATTTACCAAAAAAGAAAAAAAAAACTTTTGTTATTATTGATGATGCCTCGAATATTAAGGGCTAGATTGCTCATGTTTAAAGCAAGCTAATACATGCTTCTAAATGTAACTTTATTTCTAGAAATGATCACTAATCCTTTTTCAGAAACGAAACTTTTCCTAAGCCGGCCAATATAATATACAATAATTCGATAATCCGATCAACATTTACTGATGTGAAACCTTCTTAGGCATTTGGTGATCATATTTTATTCAATAAACTTCAAACGTTTTAATATAAAAGTCCCTAATCATCTCTAACTCCTCTTGGTTCATTCAAAGCACTATAATTTATACAGACTTGATCTTTCAGCTATCGATTCCATTACTGAGCATCTAGGTTTCACTCAAGTATAAAGAATTCACAATAGAAATCAGTCTGTTTTAAATTATGATATGCTTATTGACCTTTTAAAGGCAAAACTCTTTTGTTGCTGTTGTTTTGTCTAATCTCGTTTGTCTGATAACAAAACAAGCCAACGGCAAGGAGGCAATATTGCGCTTGTCGTCGGCAAGAGCCTGGGGCAGCACGCTGCTGACTGTAGGACTTAGTTCAATTCTACCCAAAATTTTCAAGAAGAGCACCTCGTGAGGACGTTTTCGAAGGTCTCCCGTCCTTCTTCCCCTACCAGCAAACCAAACGAGAGGACTTCCGATTCGCTGCATAGTTTGAGTGCCCCTATGCCGCAAAATAGGCATACCTGAATTTAAAAATTCAGGTATTCGAACTCGGGCCTTTCACTAATCGCTATAACCGTTGTGCGGCTAAAGTGTTGTGTGTGTTTTTTTTTTTTTTTTTTTTAATATTTTCGCAGCTGACATTAAGAGTTAAGATTCTTTATGAGCGTTTTGAAGCTACTAGAAGATTTTTGAACTTTTAGCTATTTTGTTTTCACAAATTTTCCCTCTACCAACTTCCTTCGTAACGTTCAGATTTCTTTAAGTAAATGAAGTTGGTTATGTGCACTTATCATATAATTTTTAATAAAACCTTCCGCTAGTGAAACGACGATATTCCTGAAATCAACTGTCCCATGTTTAAATAAGCTTATATTAATGATTCAAATACCGATATCTTAATATAAAAATGAATTATTTCAATAAAAACGTGTATTATCGTGAGTTTGTATTTCACGATTCTTTGAATAATGCTAATAAAATTATGAATCTAATACTGAATGGTGAAAATCTTTCCTCCATGTGTATTAAGGCACAGCTACCGGCTCTTTTGAGCCCCACTTTCCTTACCTAAAATTTCCTTCCGCGACATTATTTGTTCATTAAATTCTTTTTCTTTTCGACTTGTATTTTATCGCTTATTCTACTTCTACTTTTTTCCTTCTGAAGGCCTGACATATCTGTATTTTGGCCTTCTCAGAAGTGGTGGCAGTAATCGACAACACTTACTGATCAACTCTAGCAAATATAATTTCACCTGCTACTTTAAAAACGAATTTTACCTTCGCAAGTTAAGAAAATGAAAACTAAACTCTTATACATTGAAATTATAATCAAATTTTATTATATTTGCTAGACCGAATTAAATTTATTCAGAAAATCTTATATTATGTTGTAGAGAGATTAGGTGTTTTTTTTTTTTTTTTTTTTTGAAAAGCAGGCAAGATGAAAAATGACCAACGGCTTTGCCGGGAATCGAACTACGGACCTCTGGAATACGCGCCGAGCGTGCGCACCACCATACTACGAAGGCATGCCAAGAATGCGGGACAAATACCTTATATACTCCACCTTTTAAAGGGCGAATGGGGTTTTTAGGGGACTCAATCACCAAATCCTGGGTCTGGAGATCCATCATCCAACACCCTTTTAGTTAGGGTGCCAGTGTAGAGACATTAGGTAATTTGGAAGCAGGGAAAATGAAAGATGAGCAACGCCTTCGCTGAGAATCGAACCGCGGACTTCTGGAATACGTCCAGCATGCAGACCACTACACCACGAAGGCACGCTAAAAAGGCGGGAGAAATACCTTATACACTCCCCCTTTTAAAGGGTGACTGGGGTTTTAGGGGACCCAATCGCCAAATCTTGGGTGTGGAGAATCATCATCCAGCACCCTTTTAGCTTTATAGTCCATAATTTATGCTCCTCTTATATCACTGAACAAAATGTTATGCTTTTATGTTTTTTAATTCAATTAATTCTTAATATCGCCATATTGGAGTTTTCTATTTTGTATTCTTTCTTTTCTAAAATACGTCAGGAACCTGCATAAAAATTATTTACAGTTTGTGTGTGTGTATGATGTGTGTATATGAAACACCATCATATGAATATTTTAGAACTTTAAAAATATAGGGGCCATTTCGTATCGTACATTTTATTACTTCGTGCGAAAAAACAATAGATGAATATTAGGTTTCCTGTACGTAATATACTACTCGCATTTCATGGAGAGTAGACTGATTTACAATTTTTTTTCCCACAGTTCACATAGGAATCGACGACTATTTCGTGAGCTTTTTCAGGAATGGAGGATTATTGCTTTATTGAAGAGTACGCTGGCTTTTCCCAGAAAGTGCACTCGCGAGATTTTGGAATTTGAGGGAGCGTGTTTTAAAATATTTGGAAGAAAATAATGAACTGCCCACTGAATGCTTGCTGCTCAGAATAAAGATTGGGCATATGATTTAGGTTTGCTTCAAATTTAAGGATTACAGGGAAAATATTGTATTTTCCTATTTCAGTGGGTCATATATCTTCTTTTGTGAACAAACGTTTGCTTTTTTGTGCTGATTTTGCAGAAAAAAAAGATTAACACATTTCCCAGAAATACAAAAACTAGCTACTAAAGTCAATAATGATTCGGACTATGAGAGATTTAAAAGTTTAATATCCATTTTGCTGGATTTATTCATTTCTAAGTTTAGTGATTTTCAAGATGATAAACATAATGCTGATCTTTTCATAAATCCTTTTTTAGTTTTGTTCTCCTCCAAGATCTTAATCGCTGCTCGCTTGAAATCCAAATAAAAATTACATACCTACAGTACCATATTACACTGAAAATCAAATATAAGGAACTTTTAACTGTAAGTGATCCAAATTGCTTTGAATTTTGGAAATTTGTACCAACAATGTTTCAAGTTTTTCATTTTTATTTCATGCATAACCTGACTGATTGAACCTTTAAAAATGTGTATTAACAATAGAAACCTAAGTTTATCCTATCATTTTATTTATTATATTATTTTTTAAATCTTCACCATTTAGACTGATATGGGGAAAAAAGTGCCGTTTGTTTAAAAATCCCTTTGACTGCGAGGAAAAGTATCATGTGCAAGCATTTGCATACATGTGAATGACATCTTTTGACATCATCAGTTGGATAACGATGTCTAGCTTTGCCTTTTACTCATTCCGTGAAGGAATGAATACATATTGATCGTTTCCTTTAAAAAATATCACCTTTTATGAAAATAAAGATAATTTTAGTATCAGTACAGAATGTAATTCAAAGTTCATATGAGTATCTGTCACGATAGTCCAGCTCGCGTTTATGAATGTAGACTGAACGAAAATTTACTGAATATCACAAAAAGAAAAAAAATAGAACTTACCACTCAGACTATTATTATCTGAAACATCTGATTTTGAAATGCCTTTGGTTTCTCCTCTGTTTGCAAACGGCAGTTGGCTGACATCAATGGAACTTGTAAACCTAGGGTTCCAACGGAAATTTTCATCTTCATCATCTTGAGGAAATATTCCAAATGTCGGCTTCTCGTAAGAATTTTCATCATGGTTTCCAGCACTATCTATGGGTTGATACACACTTTTTGGAAAAGAAGGTATTTCGTCTCTATTCTCCTCCTCAACATCCGCGACTTCATTTATTGTATGACTTGGCAATCGAACTCTTTTTTTCTCATAGGAATCTACTACATCGTCTGATGCTAAATCACTGTCTTCATTGACTGGTAACCATTCCATTCCACCCTCTGTAAATGCTGGGCGTTGATTCATATCGGAAGACAAATCAGTTTTGATCACTGGTGTCTACAGAAAAAGACAGAAAGCGTTCGATATAACAAGGCATTTTGATTAAAAGAAACAGGATATATTTGTAGTGCATTTTAGCGCAGTTTAAATAATGGTGTGTTATATGTATTTCTATTTGTCATACTACTGCAGAGAAAATGTATATGCATTTTTAGAGCAATTTCCGATAAAGAATTAAAAAAGAAAATGTTTGGGAATAAAATTTTCTGGCCGCAGGTTAGTATTTCAAATGCAAAATATAATCTGCTACTTCTAAATTAATTTTATGCACAACTGATAATTTTTGTGAACATTAATGTTATGTTATGTTATGTTAAAAGATATTTTAATGGGGTGCATAACATATACTTTGGTAGCATAGTATCGTTTAATTTAATTATAACACAATTACATTAAATTTTTCTATAGTTGAATTCGCAGTATGCAATTTCATACGAAACATTGCTCCGATAAGTCTTCGTTCGCAATTGAAATCATAATTCGCGGTGGCGCTAAATTTGAGTCCTTATGCAGATTACGGATATTTATTAGTCTTTGAATCGCTGAATTTAAATTAGACTACACACCGCTTTAAGTACTGAAGTGCTGAAGTACCATTTAATACAGAAGATTTAATTAAAGCAGAAAGTAATCACTATGGATATAAAAAACTCTTTTTTCAATAATAATAAAATAATAATTGATAAATAATTGCTAGCAAATAGAAACAACAGAAAGTTACTTAGACAACATATCTTTCAAGATAGAGAGGATGTTTACATATTTTTAGAACAATTTCGATACAGAATTAAAAGAAAGCAAATGTTTTGCAATAAAAATTGCTGTCAATAATTTATTATTCAAAATCAGAAATACCATCTGCAACTTTTAAATTCATTCTTCGTTTAAAATCTCAGACGCAGAAACCAATTGCAAGATCTTTAAATACATATGTGGCTCACGAGACAGATGGCATATGGCTCAAGACACACACACGCACACACACACACACACACACACACAAAAAAAAAATACAATCCTCTGTGAAAATTATTTAGCAGGAGGCAGATGCAAATACATTACAAACCATGCTGAATAATGGGTTTGCCTAAATGACTGCATTAAAAATGAATATATATTATCAAAACTGAATAGAAAGGAAGTTTCAGTAAGGAGTTTAAGATTGTCGCAGGTTTCTCATGTAATGGGAAATTTAAAATGAGGAAAGTGGAAGAAAAAGTTAAAATCAACTGAACGTTCTACATCCGACATTTACAGAAAAAATTATATTTCTTTATAATAACGATTCTCTAATATTTGAACCTTTAGTGAAATTTCATCAAGACAGAGTAATACGTCGAAAGGTACCATTGCATTCTAGCAAAAATGAAGATTGATACATATTGTTGCATTCTACAGGTTCGTAGATTCGGAGTGATTGATGACAACACTTGATGAAGAATCAAAACACAATTTATTCGTCAGTGTTACACAGCGCAGCTCCAGAGATGAGTTACAGTCGTCGGAAAACTCCCTGAAACAATCAGCAACACAGCCTTCACTCTATCAGGCTATAACGGTGAAGACAGCTTCACGGCAAAGCACTAAAGTAAATATTCCACGGCAAAGCACTACTCGATCGATCGCTCTTCAGCTTATCTCTGAATTCAAAACACTACCACTGAACTCAACATACTACAAGATACTCTCTTACTCCGCGTACAGGGTAGGGTATTTATAGCTTTTGACACCTGCCTTCGAGAACATTCCCGGGAAAAAGCCCGTAAGAATTCGTTCTCGAATGCTGTCGCTCCGTCTATGGGATATCGGCAATTTTGTCGCGCAATGGACTATTTTCCGTCAAATCTGGCAACCCTGTATTTCCACTTTCTGGTAAATCTATTACCAGCTATCTCACCGCAGCTAGGCTGCATAGATACCTTTTTAACGTAGTCTTATGAAGACCTCTGAAGTCTGACCTACAGTCTCCCCAATTTAATTTTAAATTTATTTTGTATACTTCTAGTTAACACAATCTGTTTATCACTAGTTAAGCTCATGTCTTCTAGCAAGATATGTTACTTTTGGGAAAAAATAAGTTCTATTCTAATATTTTTAATAAATACTAAACTAATTAAAAAGTCTATATTTCTTTATCAAAGTACAGCCTAGTAAGTAACGCATTCTGAGCAGCGTTATAAAATTCATACTTTGAATTTATTAGCAATCTAATATACAAGCACTGAGTTTCAAGAAATCGATTCTAAATCCAGTATGCAATTAAACAAACTAGTTAAATAAGCTCATTGGTAATTCACAATCAGAATTAAAACGATTTGGATCGTATTGACAAATATGTTAAACCACATTTCATAATAATAAAATTCTTCCAGGAAACTATCTAATTAAAATTAAAAAAATAATACCAGTACTTTTCTTTAAACTGAAATATGTTCTCTAAATTACCTTAAGTAAAATTTTCAAATCAGAGTTTAAAAAATCCAAATACACTAAAATAATATCCAGGGCTCATACATGCTATTAGTTAAAAATTGTAGAAATTAAAAGCAACTTTTCCTGTTTACAGATTAAAGATTTATAAAGCTAAAAAGTGAAAATGCACTTAAATATTACTAATTAGTTTTACTTATTCGCACAGTATATCTGACATATTTATATCTATGATACAGAAGCGCACAGATTTTCAGTGGATAAATGTATAGTAAAATTGATCTGCTCCTAATTGTATTTAATTGCTATTATATGAGTTAATTTTTTCTAAAGAAAATTATACCTTTTAGTTACGGTTATTTATTCCGCTAATGTAATTTGATACATTTTGTATAAATTTTATTTATCTGTTTTCTAAATTTTGCATATGTATCGATAAATTTAATACATCCGCTGAATAAAATATATAAAAGTTTTATTAAAGCAAAAAAAATATGTTATAGTCTATCATCTATGAACACTCATAAAACGAAAATTACGGTTTATTCACAGTTAATTTATGCTAAAAAATTTTATATACGTTCAAGAAAGAAGAGTACATTAAAATTTTCACTAGACAATAAATGAAATAGAAAATCTAGAATTTTAACATCTCGACAAATTTGAATATGTGAGAAGCAGCGGGGGAGATCAAATATATTGAAATACTCACAAAAATCATTCGAAGCGACAATATAATGAAAATCTTTGTCTTATTATGCAAATATGTAAAGTTGCGTAATTTTTAAAATTGCTTTCGTACTCCAACTACTGACATTTTTCAATTATTAAGAAATATGAATATATATATATATAGAATATATATATATAGAAATATGAATATATATCATATTTATAATATGAATATATATATATATATATATATTCATATTTATAATATGAATATAAAAATATATATATGAAATATGAGATTCAAATGTCCATAATTACGAAACAAAGATATTGTCCACGAGTGATTAAGAAGTATATATCGAAACATTTTATTATATCTATATTTTTGCTTTCCATAAGAGGTTTCTTGCTTAAGTGATTTAAATAATGATCTTTCGAAACCAAAATCTAAGAATTAGAGGATCTTTTACTTTTGTTTCAGTCTTTACTTATTTAAAATATTTCATATCTGTTTCCAAGAAAATAAATGCAGCTGCAACATTATAGAAACATCCATTTCTTTATGCAAAAAGTACTTGGTTACTACCTTTTAAAAATAGTCACGGATTATTATCGTCTTTCATTAAGTATATTTCTTCAAATAATGTTGAAAAATATTGTGTATTAATTTATAAAATGTATTTTTTCATTCAAATAAATTTTTATAAATTTTCTTTCCTCCTTTCCGAAATAATAGTCAGGAAATGTCTAGTATTAATAGTTTATAAACAAACGTATTTTAAAACATACGTATTTCAGTGTAAATTAATTATTAAGCTTTCATTTTCTGTGTAAATGTTCCTGTTTACATTTACTGTGTGCGCAGAATTATCTACATATAAGTTTAATAATTTAAAGAGTCATGTGCATGAATTTGACACTTTTATTTAATAAGAGTTTTGTACTCGAAGCCATTAGAACTAATGGCTTCGAATTCATTTAATATTCTGGCCATTGAATAATTTCCAGAATATTCAAAATGAATATTCTGGCCATTGAATTCATATTAACCTTCTATTCGTAATAAAGTTGGGCATTTGCAATTGCCTTTCGAATAATTATTTAACACATAACAAAACCCACATGCCATATTGAATATCAGTATCTAATTTTCACTTTTAAGTCTCTAAATGTCTTTAAAGGTAGGAATCTTTTCAAAACATTTGGATCATTATCTTATGGTGCATTTTTTGAAGTCATATTGTCACGTACTTTTCATCCATACAACTTGGTAAGAGTTCAAAATTGACAAAACCCAAGATCATTAATTTATCTTACATATCGAATCTTATATAGTTCCAGAACAATGTCATTCGATGGGATAAAAAATTTCATCTTAAATTTAATCAATCGTATTATCAGACAGATTGATTAATTTGAAAGTAATAAGTACACTTTTAATACTATACTTGGTATACTTAAAATACATTTAATTGAGATATTTCCAATTGATAAATTTTATAAATATTTGCATCATTTTTGCAATCGGTAAAAGAGGTATTTAAAGTCATATATGTGGTAGGAGAGTTGAAGATGCTTAGCTAGAGTCAATAAACAAGTCCAACGTTTTCCACGCCACAGAACATTTAATAAAATAACAGAAGAAGGTACATTAAATCAAGTCACAGTGCCGTTTGATACAAACAGGATTCCTCATTGTCACTTTTACCAATTTTATAACATAGCAGCTTATTGCCTACTCGCACTTACTGTTCTATTATGCAGTTCAATTTACCACCTCCTCGTGGAAACATACAGTTCATTATTTAACCACCTTCTCGTGGAGAACTACGTCTTACCACCTTCTCGTTGAGACATATTACCACCTTCGCGTGGGATTAGAAGACTCTCTATCT